GTTGATGTGAATCTCTCTCTCCTCTTTCCCTCCATGTTTCTGATGCTATTCAGTCTCTCTCTCTCTCTCTCTTGATCCTTCTTTCCCCTTTTCGTTGGAAGCTCCGGTGTGTATCTTCTGGTGAGTTTGGATTGTTTTCATTTCAGTAAATCCCCCTTGGTTTTGTGTCGCAACCTCTTGATTTGGCGCTCTTTTCTACATTCTGTCTGAGGATTTCAAGAGCAGCTGCTTCTGATTATTTGAACCTCTAAATTCTTCCATTGAATTATCCCTCTCTCCCCCACCATTGAATTTTTTTTATCAAAATTTGAAAAGTTTAATATGAATTTGGAAGTGGAAAAAGTTTTGTAAAAATATGAGAATTATCTTAAATTCAATTCCCTTTTTGAGTTTTTTTCTATTTTTTATTATATGTTTTATATTTATATAAAAAAAATCATCAACTTTTAAAAAAAACTTTCCCATAAATATCTAAATTTTGAAATGTATTTTTATGTAAAATATCCTCTTTTTTCTAAAACTACTAATACATAGGGGTGGACAAAATATCCGAAATAACCGAACCGATCCGTTATTCGATTTGTATCCGAACCGAAAATTCGGATATCCGGAGTTTATGGATCAGATACGAATATTTATTTGAAGATATTTGTCGGTTACGGATCGGATAAGGATATTAAAATTGAATTATCCTACATATCCGATCCGATCCGTATTTTATAATAATATTATTAAATATAAGAATAATTTGATATATATATTTAAAATGTTTAATATTTACACTTTTTTAGGGAGATTTAAAAAATATTTTTTATATATTGAGGTTTATAATATTTAATCTTTTGAATATTAAAATTTATTATGTTTAATGTTTTGAATTTTGAATTTCGAATATATTTATATTTGATAAATTATGATTATATTTGTATTTGAGTTTATTTTTAATGTTTAAAATATAAATTTTAAATTATAAATATCGTTTCTATTAATTAGATTTATATATTTTATTTACGTTTGAGTTTTTATTTAATTTTAATTTTAATTTTTATAATATTTTACGTCGGATACGGATATCCGCAAATATTCGTGATTTTTACGGATATCCGAAATTATGAATATCCGAAAATTACAGATCGGATTCGGATAATAAAATCGAATATTTGTACGGATCGGATACGGATACGGATACGGATATCTCAAAAATACGGGATATCCGATCCGTGCCCACCCCTAATACATATACCTTTTTTAGATATAAATATATGATCGTAATGATAATATGATCACATGATAATAATATTGGTTATAATGTTAAATTTATATTGATCAAATCAAGTCATTATAGTCACAACTTACATATCACACTTGGTAAAACCACCACAAATTTAAAGTTATAACCAATGTAACCACCACGTGACCATACTATCATTCTGTTCATTTATGTAGAATAGTATGTGTAGAATTAATTGTGGCAAATAGTATTTTGGATAATACCCCTTTTGAAACTTTTTTTTTTGGTTTAATGTGTTTTGTTGTATTGATATCCGATAAATTACATTTACAAAAAGTTCAAATCACCAATAGCAATAAGGGATTCCCATGTTATGCGGGCCGAAAAAGATAAACTTAACTAACTAATATGATACCATAGTTGCAAGATTTCATTCATACTAGAGTCTCCCGGTTTTTGCAAGGATATGAGAACATTATTCATAAGTCGATCGACCTTGAGCTTCATCTGATTCACCGAAGTCCACTGATTCTTGTGAATACGAGCATTTCTCTCTTTCCATGTCTTGTAGACTGTCAATTCTGTTAAGAGCTTCATTATGGTCCGCCTATTGGGAGCCGCACTTACCTCGCGTTTAATCCAATCTAGACAGCATCTCTCGTCAGGTGTTGGGTTCCCACCGAGCTTTCCAGGAAGTGACAGCCATAATGTGGAGCTGTAGTCACACTTGAAGAACAAATGTGTAGGAGATTTGACATCGTTGCAGCACAAGACACATCTGCTAGGCCCTTGTATTCCCCACTGTGCCACCCTATCCGCCGTTGGTAGTCTCTGATGCATTACTTGTCAAAGAATGAAAGAGTAACATGGAATTTCTCCCTTAAATCAGACCAAATCGTGCCATTGAACAGTCTGATTTTGTCTCCTGATCTGCTCCCATGTGCATTTTGAGTTTAACGTCACTTGGAAGTCGTCTTCTTTATGCCGCCAAAGGTACATGTCTTGTCCCCTGGCCATACTTGGTGGTTCCATCGATGAGAGAATGATATGCAATTGTTGTATTCTGTCATTTCTCGCTCCCGGTAGATTACAGTGGGCGTTACGGAGTGCATCAATTACTTTCGCTGTTTTACTCAACCTCATGAGTCTCGGACCGATATGCCAATGAAGTCTATCAACGGTCCAACACTGAGCCAATTGTCGAACCAGAAAGATATAATTTCACCATTGCCCAGCTGAACCATAGTAAAGTGCCTTATCTCATCATTGCCCAGCTGAACCTTAGTAAAGTGCCTTATCTCATCCTTTAGTCAAAGCAATTTCTTGAGGTTCCATGTGGCAATCGTTGTGTCACCTCTTTCCCAGTAAGTGCATCCTCGGAACACATTTTTTTTCACCCAAGCAACCCACAAACAACCGGCTTTAGTGAGCAATAACTAAATCAGTCTAAGTCTGAAAATTTAATTATGCTCGTTAAGCCTTTGTATCCCTAGTCCTCCTTCCTTTTTCTCTTTACAGACAAAATCCCAAGAGACTCGATGACTAGGTGTTTTCCCGGCTGAATGTTGCCAAATGAATGTTGAACAAAGGTTGTCTATCCCTTTGATGACGAACTTTGGTAAAACAAATGTCATGGCCAATGAGCTTACCATTCCATATATCACCGAGACCACTAGCTGAATTTTCCCCGATGCCGATAGATACTCGTTTAGCCAACCTTCCAATTTTTGCTTGATCCGATGTATCAATGGCGAGAAATCAGACCTGCATAATCTGGTTGGGCTCAGCGGGACGCCTAGGTATCTCACAGGGAGAGTTCCTAGGCCAATACCAATGTTGGATGAGATATTCGCTTTCTCTGTTTCGCTCATCCCTGTCAAGAACAGTTCAGACTTTTCTAGGTTGATGTTCAGACCAGACAACCTTCTGAAGTCACCAAGTGTCTTCTTGATCACCTCGAGAGTCGGTACATCCCCTCATGAGAAAATCATTATATCATCAGCAAATGTCAAATGTGTAATCAAGGGATTATCACATTTGTGATGTGTTTTGAACTCCCCTTCAATGGCTGATGTATCAAGCATGCGTGTGAGAATTTCCATGGCCATGATGAACAAGTATGGGGACGGTGGATCCCCTTGCCGCAGCCCTTTCCGCCCTTTGAAATATCCGGCGAGTTCCCCATTAATTTTTATGGAGAACTTCGGTGTTGTTATGCACGCTTTAATCCAGCTCACAAACTGCAAGGGGAGATTTATGGCCTTTAGCAGTTGAATGATGGTGCCCCAATCCAAGGAGTCGAAAGCCCTGCGTATGTCAATCTTCATCATTGCACTTTTCTGAGTCGAGCTTCTGTTATACTCATGAATGATTTTTGATGCCAATACATTCTCTATCATGAGTCTGTCTTCAAGAACGCATTTTGGTTAGGTGATACCATTTCAATAGCCACTGTCTGAAGTCTTTTTGCAAGGATGGTCGAGATGACTTTGTAGGTAGTGTTGCAACCTATATTCCGCTAGTTTTGTGGCCTCAGGTCTCTTTGGAATTAGTGTTATGGCTGTTGCATTTGTTTGGCCTAACAGCTTTCCGGTGGTGAAGAAGTCTTGGACAGACCGTGTAAAATCTCTTCCCACGACATCCCAACTTGCTGTGAAAAAATCCTTTGAGTATCCGTCGGGTCCAGATGCCTTGTTTTCCGAGAGGGAGATCAATGCGGTTTTTATTTCCTCCTCGGTTAGTTGTGCATCCAACTCATTCAACGGATTTACTTGCCATCTGTATCGGATCATCTTCTGCAGCCACGTTATGGATGGTGTTTTGACCTCATTATCTCGGACCCCAAATAGGTCTGTGTAAAATGCGACTGTGTGTGCTTTGATCTGAGCTTGAGATTCCATTATGTTTCATTCCCATCTTCCAAGTAATGAATATGATTCTTTGCTGCTCGGGAAGCTGCACAATGGTGAAAGTAAGTCGTGTGATCCGAATGCCCAGGTGGTGCCAATTCCGCATATGCATTCGGATATTTGACCCTCCATTCATCATTCGTCAGAGACGGTCAAGCTTAACCGAGAGTGGATTAGCTGGTTGGTTATTACACCATGTGAAAGAGGCACCTCGTGCTGGCATGTCCGAAATTCCAGCCACATCCATGCATTCCTTGAGGTCGAGCATTCCACTTTGTTGGCTCAGATTTAAGGTGAAGTCTGATCTCTCCATTGGTGATATAATCTGATTGAAATCCCCCAGCACTATCCATGGGATTTCTTTCATCGGTTTGTATTGGGATATGTCCTTCAGTTCCAGCCAAAATGCTTTCCTCTCAAGTATCGATGTAGAAGCATATATAAATGTTGTCATTATTTTCAACTTGTGTTGCGCGTTTTCAATCCTGCACGTTACAGCCTGTTTTGAGGAGCTGTATATTGTTACCGTAGTTGATGCTTCCCAAATGAGCCAGATCCTTGCCATGTTCCGGTCATCAAAATGACAGGCATGCTTCCATTCCATGGGTATCACATTAGCTATTCTATCCAAGTTCCTTTCATGCATGTGTATTTCCAAAAGTGCTCCCATGAAGAGCTTATTTCCGGCAATCCATTTCCGCATCAAAAATCGCCTACTTTGGGCATTTATGCCCCTTACATTCCAAACAGAAATTATGAGATTCCCGTGAGGTTTAAATTTTCCCTCGTGGCCTTTCGGCCACGGCTTCTTCTCGTAACCACCTGAAAGCCTTGGTTGTCCATCTTGGTGTTTTTTGGTTGCTATTCGGTTTGGGTGGCTTGGTGTGGTGTTAGTGTTTGAGGCTTTTTAATGGTGGTTGGTGATGGGTTTCGGTCAGTAGGCGATAGAGAATTGCGTTGGGAGGGGTTCACATGTTCATAGTCGCTTTCCTAGAACATGTTTCTTGTCGCTCCTCACTGAGTAGGTGGTCTATTTGTGATTTGGATTGGATGGCGTGACCATCTTCTGCTTGTTCTGTAGTTGTGACTAGGTTGACAGCCGCCGATTCTACAACTTGTACTTGTGCCTGCTCACTGGGTGCTTCCTTAGGAGAGAGCGGACAGTGGCTACGGTTATGGCCAAGCTCCAAACAACCGTTACATCTTG